ACCCTTGAGGACCACGGGGCCTGGCCAGCTCACCTCCCCGGGTACCCTGCTTCGTCCTGGACCTGGGACCCAGGGCCTGATGGGAGCTCCTCTGCCCCCAGCTCCCACCGCGTGATCGTGGAGCACTTCATGCGCCGTGCCATCAGCACGCTGGCCAGGGACGCGGCCCTGGAGCAGGTGGTCAAGGTGCTGACCTCCACGGACGAGACCGAGTACCCCCTGGTGGAGAGCACAGGTGCCCGGCCCGGGGGGAGGACGGTGGCCGGGGCTAGGGCTTCCCCCTGCCTTCTTCCCAGAGTCCAGAGGGTCAGGCCCAGGAAGGACAAGCAGAGGGCTCGGTCTGCACCTGTGTCCAGGCCTGGACGTCGACGCTGTGTGAGCCTGGGCGAGTGCCTTCCCCTCCCCCTCTCCCAGCCTCAGCTCCCGCATCTGCAACAAGGAAACAGGCCCTCCGGGCCTCGGCGTGGGCGACACGTCCACCTGGCGGGGACAGTGCTTGTGGCCTCTGACCCAGGCCGGGGCTTCTGCTGGTGGGGACGCCACTAGGAACTTCCAGAAGCTTCCTCTTGAGATCTCCCTCATCCTGCACAGCAGTGGGGGGTCACCCTGATGCCCACCCCTGAGAGCAGAGCCACCTGGGAGCTGCAGAACTCAGGGCACCACTGCTCCTCCGTGGTTCCCTCACCTGCACACAGGGATCCGTCCAGAGGGTCCCCGAAACCCCAGGCAGGCCCCCCGCCCACCTGTACGTCGTGCTTCAGAGCTCTGCACCTCGAAAGTTGCGGCCCGTGCGCGAGCTGCCAGGACTTCGCCTCCCGGGACAAAGGAGGAGCTGTCCTCGGCTCAGCTCTCTGCGGAGTCACAGGAAGCACCGAGCTCCCGAGCAGCTCAGGCCTGGGCTGTGGGTCCACTGCCCACCCAAGGACAGCTTTCCTTACTATATCTATTACTTACTCATGTATTTATTAAGGTTTACTTATTTGAAAGAATTACAAGGTGTGGGAGAGAAAGAGAGAGAGGGAGAGAGAGAGATCTTCCATTTGATGGTTTACTCCCAAATGGCTCTAACGACCCGGTTGGGCCAGGCTGATGCCAGGAGCCAGGAACTCCATCTGGGTCTCCCGTGTGAGTGACAGGGGCCCAAGTACCTGGACCATCTTGCACTGCTCTCTCAGGCCCATTAGCAGGGAGCTGGACCAGAGTGGAGCAGCCGGGACTCAACCGGCCCTCCTAAGGGGTGCTGGGAAGGCTCAGCTTAACCCTTTGCACACAGTGCTGGCCCCAGCTTTGTTTTAAAAGGGCAGACACATGAGGCCAGCGTTGTGGCATTGCAAGTGAAGCCACATCCCATAAGAGACCCTACTTCGAGTCCTGGCTGTACCACTTCTGATACGGCTCCCTGCTAATGGCCTGGGAGGGCAGTGGAAGATGACCCAAGTGCTCAGGTCCCTGCACCCACGTGGGAGACACAGAAGAAGCTCCTGGCTGCCAACTTCCGCCTGGCCCAGCCCTGGCCATTGCAGCTACTTGGGGGAGTGAACCAGAAGATAAAAAATATCACTCTCCCTCTCTAATTATGCCTCAGAAATATAAAAATAAATCTTTAAAAAAATGAAAGGGATGGGCACATTTATCTGTCTTGTATGTAGCTGGCGCCTCCCACCCAAACACTGGTGACCTCCCTGTCTGCCGGGGAGAAAGGGCTGCGTCTGGCCTGATCGTGTGCCCGCTTCCCCGTCTCCATCCTTGCCCAGTGACGGTCAGTAACTACTGCACACTGTCGTACTGTAGTAGGTCTTAAGAGTCGCTTAGGATGCTTTAAAGTATATGGAGGGTGTGCGCAGGTTCTGTCCAAACCCCGCGTCATTTTACGTAGGGGGCTGGAGCGTCTGGGGGTTTGGAACTGGAGGTGGTCCTGGACGGACCCTCTCAGACACTCAGGACAGACGCCGTGCTGACAACCCCAGTGCTGCACACGGGAGGGCGCTAGGCCGCAGTGTCTCCTGGGTTCCTTCCAGAACTGGGCTGAGCCAGTGCTGACAGCCAGATGTCCCCAGGCAGGCGGCCCTGCAGAACGGAGAGTCCCCACGGGAGCAGACTGCCCCTTGGCCCCGCCTACCACACCTCCACATTGGATGCTCAGTGACCTTGGGCATGACAATCAGCAGCGCTGTGCCCCTGAGGCTCAGTTTGCTGTCCTGTCCAGTGGGTGAGAGTTGTTCCAATGGACCCATAGGAGAGACAGGGCAACCCCAGCACGTGGGTTCTTGGCACATAGTAGGTGCTGCGTAGATGGAGTTATTCTGCATAATGCGCCTCTCCACCCCTCCCTGTGCACCTGCTAGAGTCGCAGCTCCTGGTGGGCATCGTGCAGAGGGCCCAGTTGGTGCAAGCCCTCCAGGCCGAGGCACCTGCCAGGGCTTCAGGACAGCAGGTGGGTATGTGTGAGGGTGGGCAGCAGAGAGGTGAGGGGAGAGGCAGTCTGGAAGGGGCTGCCCGGGGACAGGGGGCTGGTGCAGGTACCCATCTCCCTGCCCCCATCCCCAGCGCTGTCTCCAGGACATCCTGGCTGGGGGCTGCCCCACGGAGCCAGTGACCCTGACGCTGTCCCCTGAGACCTCGCTGCACCAGGTAATGGGGAGAAGTCAGGAAGTGGAGGATTATGGGGTCAGCCAGGACCCTGGGGCAGAGAGCAAGGGCCGGCAGGGAACGAGGGCTCCAGCCTCCCCCGCTACACTGTGTTGCTCCGTCCCCCTGGCCTGCTTCCTCATTGGCAGACTGTGCACAGCAGTGCCCGCCCTGTGCCCCGACCCCCAGGGTGGCTGGGGTGACCCAGAGACACTACTAGAGGGGTAGAAGCGGCACAGAAGCTCTTGGGGTTTTGGGGTAGACATTGGGTACAAGTGTTGCATCACCACACATGGGAGTCCCTTTCCCATCCACTTCAATCTCCCTGTGTGATCGCAGGCACGTTACCGACCCTGTGAGGACAGAGCCCGGCTCTCAGGTGGGCCAGGGGCAGAAACAGGCCAGGCAACCTGGTGTGGGCACACACTCTCTGCTGAGGTCCTTCCACCCAGGCTTGCACAGCCCATGTGCGGACTCTGGGGCCCCCTGGTGGTCATAGTGAACATTGCCCGCAGGTCCCTGGTTCCTGGCAGAGATTTAGGGGTGCAGCCAGAGGGGTGGCTGGGCGCCCCGACCCTCCAGTGTTTCCTGACACCCCCTTGCAGGCACACAACCTGTTTGAGCTGTTGAATCTTCGATCGCTCTATGTGACGTCCAAGGGCAGAGCTGTGGGCTACGTGTCCTGGGTGGAGGTACCGGGGGAGCGGGGGGGGGGGGGGTGACTCAGGGAAATCTCTTCCTTTTTTTCATTCTTATTTATTTATTTTTAAGCCGGAGTGAAAAAGGAAGAGGGTCGGGGTGGGGAGAGCTTCCATTCACTGGATGCTCCCCAGCATGGCTACAAAACCCAGAGCGGGGCCGGGTGAAGCTGGAGCCAGGAAGTCCACCTGGGGCTCCCATAGGGGTGGGCAGGTACTCAGGACTTGGGTGATCACCTGCGGCTCCCCAGGCGCATCAGCAGGGAGCTGATATGACGCAGAGTTGCTGGGGCTCCAACCAGCTCTGTGATATGGGACACAGCACGTGCCCCCTGAGGATACTGAGGGACTCCCTTTCCTGGCCGGGGGGCACAGCAGCCTGAGTGCCCCGACCTGGTCTTGTGGCCAGCAGCCTCGCTGCCACTCCCTGGTGCCAGTGATCCCATCTGAGCAATGGGGAGGCACCGCTCTAGCCGTCACCAAAGAATCCAGCCCTGGGGAAGTCAAACGACGGTGGAGCCCCCGCTCTCGCCTGCCCTGCAGCCTCCCTCCCCACCCCCTGTGCTCTGTTCTAGCTGGAGAAAGCAATCTCTGCCCTGACGAACCCACCGGCTGCCAAGTGAGCTGCCCGCACGAGGAGGCGGGACACCCCCTGCCCTGGCGACTGTGGCGTCCAGGAGCCGGCGTCCCTTCTCCAGTCCCGACCTCCCCACCGCTCCATCCTAGCTCACCTGCTCGGCGTGGCAGCAGCCCTAACCCAGCCCCGACAGGAGCCCCACTTTTGCCCCGTGCCGTCTTGGGGGACACCAGCTCCTGCCTTGAAGCACGGAGCTCAGAGTGCGAGGGAGGGGGAGAGCAGACCAGGGCGGCGCCCAGGGAGCAGGCGCTCAGCTCATGGCTGCGGAGGCTGGCGGGCGCTGTCGGCAGGGGCAGGCCTGGAGGCCCTCGGGGATGGGCTGAGGTTCCCGAGAGAAATAAAGCTGAGCCCTCCCGGAGCCGCAGCTCCTCCCTCACTTGAGCTCCAAGGGGCGTCCTCCATGGGGCCTGTCCTGGCTGGGCGGCAGCAGGTGGAACAGCTGTGTGTGTGCTGGGGGCCAGGACCCTCCCCTCGGTCCCTCCAGAACCCCTGCCCAGGGGCCCAGGCACCTGCCTTCCCCAGCAAAGACCAGCCAAGTGCATGCAGGTGAACCCACCACTTTAATACCAGGGCACCGTGAGGACGACGGGGGTGGCAGTGGGGGCACCGAGGGAGCAGGTTTGGGACGGGGAGAGCCAAGTGGACACTCCAGACACAGAGACACTCTGAAGGTGCCAATGAGCAGGGGCTGTGCCTCCAGGGAGGCGACCTCATCTTCCCTAGGGAGCAGGTGCACAGGCGGGGGACTGAGCCCAGGGTCAAGGCAGGGTCCCCAGCCCCACTCCTACTGGGTCTCTCTGTCCCCACGAGGCCATCGGCCTGGGATCCTGGCAGCAGCGTCTCTGGGGGCCATGGCCCCAGCATCTGTCGCTGTCCTTGAGCTCCCTGAAGACAAGGGGCAAGGGGCAGTGCCCCCTGAGCCTGGGAAAGACAGAGAAGGGGGACTCAGGCTGCCTCTGATGGCCGGGTCCACCGGAGCACAGAGTGACCCACAGGAGCGCCAGCCCTCATCCCTGCCGCCTCCTCCCTGAGCCTGCCCCAAGAGGTGGAGAGCTGCCCAGCGGCATTCCCAGAGTCCAGATGTGCCTGGGCTACGGACTGGCCAAGGTCACGGTGTGGGCAGGTGCTGGCCCCGTGCAGCCCCCACCTCAGTTATAGAAAACCTCGTCTTCCTCTTCGGAGAGGGAGCCGCTGTCCACCGAGGGGAGCGACCCCTGCAGGCAGCCCCCTGCCTCGGGCCCCAGGCCCCCGGGCAGCCGCTGCCGGTGCTGCTGCTCAGGGCTGGGGGGCTGGGGGCTGGCAGGGGGGAGGGGAGAGGGGGAGGGCCACTCATCAGGGGAGTGGCCAGGCGAGGAGAAGGCCAGGAGGCTGTCATCCCGTGATGGGCCGCTCAGGAAGCTGTCCTGCAGGCCTGCAAAGCAGATAGGGGGGCGGATGCATCCGGGCTCCTGAATAGTGGCCCCTCCAGGTGGGAGGATGGCCCGCCCACAACCCCTGCCCCACGCCCCACTGCGGCTGCCCAGTGTGTGACCTTGGCCAGGCCCCTGAACCTCCCTGTGTCCACCTCCTCTCTGCCACTCCAGGGAGGGTACAGGGTTGGGGCCAGGTGCTTGGCTGTGCCCGGTGCCCAGTTTCACATCCTCACTCTGACCCTCTGGCTGTGTCACCTGGGGTGAGCTTCAGGGCCTCCTGGTGCCTCCGTTGCCTTAGTTGTAAGAAGGGGACGATGGGACCTACTCCCAGTGCCACAGCGCAGTAAGGGACATTGCAAGCAGAAAGTGCTCATCACCCCCTCTCCCCATGTGGGTGGCACCCGCTGGGCAGTGGGTCCATTGTACAGATGAGAAAACGAAAGCTGGGGAAGGAAGGGTCTTGCCCGCCTCACACAGCCTGGGGTGGCCGCAGGCCTCTGGCCTCAGTTCTGCACCACCCACCCCAGCCCAGGCCCCCCGGGCTGTACCCTGAAGCTGATCCGTGTCCTGGGGGCTGGTCTCGAGGTGCAGCTCCTCACCGTCCAGCGAGGACCAGGCACTCAGCATGGCCTCTGTGATGGCAAACTCCTCGGTGACCCCTGGGGACAGTGGGGTATGGGCAGGTGGGGGGAGCGCTGGCACCAAGACCGGCTGAGGGGTGGCTGAGGGGCCACCTCTCGGGGCTGCCAATCACACCCAGACACACCCACCCTGTGCCTTCTCTGCCCGCCCACACGGTGCCCATACAGTGACCCCGCTCCCAGAGGCCCCACTCCACCCCTACAGAGCGGCCGGGCCCCCTCTCCCCTCCCCCTTCCCGCTGACCTGCAGCAAAGCGGGCCTCCCCCAGCTCATCCGGGAGGCAGTGGTAGTCCTCGGCCGGGGACAGCTCCCAGCCCAACCGCTGGGTACTCCAGCCCTTCCACTCGATGAGGTGGGCCACGCGGCCCCGTGCCATGGCCGTGGGTTTGGTCATGTGGTCCTTGATGCTCTGCACCACCCCTGGGGCATTGGGGACATTGGGGGACCGTCCCGATGTTACACCCTGCTCAGGTCTGCCTCCCAACCCCTGGAGGCTCTCCTCAGGGTCATCAGGTGGCCCGTACCCCAATCCATGCATGCCTGAGTATGGGGGATGCCCTGTACCCCCCGCCAAGTGCCCCACAGGATTCCAGGGCCCACCCAGTCCCTCCCACCCCTCCCTTCCCGGGGCCTCCCAGGGCTGCACAGCCCCCTGGGCTCTGATGCCCCCCCCACTCTGACCCCATGTCCATTTTCCTGCCCACTGTGGGCTCCTTACCTGACCAGATACAGCCCTCAGTGCTTTCTGACCAAGGTCACACCCTCTGCCCAGGTGTGGGGAGCAATTCGGACTAGACTGAGTTACTGGAATTAAGACTTATTCTATGCATCTGCTCTCCCACAATATGGCGCTGGGAGAGGAGAAAACAGCTTCTACGCAGCTGCCTCCAGTTCAGCCAATAAACTGTAGGACTTGCTCCTGATTGGAGAGCAGCATACTTGGCGTGTGGGCAGCCGAGTTGGGATTGGCGGAGGAGGACTATAAAGGAGGAGAGAGACGGCATGCATCAGGAACATCTATGGGGAACATCTAAGGGAACCCGTGCAGCCCCCGAGAAAGCCGGCCGGCGGTGTGCCGCTCCCCTGCGGAAGTGGGGAATGCGGCCAGGGGGAACTGCCCTTCCACGGAGGTGGAAGGGATAGTAGCCAACCCGGGAAGAACCGGCAGCAAACCCGGGGAGGGCCGAGCAGACGAAAGAACAGCGCAGGGTCCTGTGTCGTTCCTCCATGAAGAGGGGGAGCGACATAATGGTGCCGTGACTCGGATATGAAGCCTAGGCAGGACTTAGTGTCGTTCCTCCACGAAGAGGGGGAGCGACACCAGGAGACTGGCTCATGATCCCCCCTCCCTCCCGTTGGCCACTAAGGGGCACTTCGGAGAGAGCCTCTCAATGCCTCAGTAGGGCCAGCTCTACAGAGTTGATACTTGGCTGGGGCAGCAGGCAGGGAAGCCTTCCTGGGAGAGGTGGCCTGGTGCTGGGTTCTGGAGAAGCCGGGTGTGGCACACAGGGGCAAGACCCGACACTCTGCCCGAGATGCCAAGGGCGGAGGCATGGAAGCGGCTGGAGGTGAGACATGGGGCAGTCCCAGCACTGGGGTGGCAGAAGCGGTTGGGTGCCCACCAGGATCACCCTGGGGCTGCGAGAGCCAGGCTGAGGGCTCAGATGGTCTCCTGAGAGCCGTGGGGAGCCACAGCATGGCCGTGAGCAGGAGAGCGACCGGCAGACCAGCTGTGGAGGAAGGACATGGCAATGAGAGGACTACAGGCCAGAGGTGGGGACAGGGGGACCCTGAGGGACGACTACAGAGCCTCAGCAGGAGACAGGGTGAGGCTGGGGGGTGGGGAGGGGTGTGGGAGACTCCCTGGGGGAGACCAGTGGGTGTGAAAGGAGATGGCGAGATGTCATCAGGAAGGACCCAGCAGATCCACTACCAAGGCCAAGAGCAGCTCTGGGAGTCCCCTGAAGCCATGACGGCCTGAGGCCAGGAGGAATGAGATCATTTATGGAACCTGGGATGGTAGGGAGGGCAGAGCGGAGGAAGGGGTGAGCCCCTCTCAGATATGGGGAACAGTGGCAATCAGAGAGGGCTTTTGGAGGAGGTGGCACTTCACGCAGCCCTGGCAGGACAAGTGAAGTGAGGAGAACAGACAAACGTGGGGAGGAGGGCAACCAGGGGCCCTCAAGGGAGCTGTGAGGATCAGGTGCGCTGAGCCGGCGGCAAATCCGAGGGGACCAGGCACTGCCTTGGGCCACACAGCGCAGATCCGCAGTGACAGCCCAGATCTCCCGTCCTGCATTCCCCAGGTGGGTCAGTGTCGCTGCTGGGGGCTCCCACCTGCGCCCATCTCTGCAGAATCATCCTCAGCTGATGGCGCTGCCCCACCCAGAGGTGCCTGGGAGTGGCAGATCCTTCCTAGGAGCAGCCGAGCACTGGCCCAGAGGACATCCCTGTCCAATCCGGGGTGCAGGTCTCACAGATGAGGCCAGAGAGGCCACAGGCTGCCTCTGCTGAGCCCCGTGCCCAGCCCCACCCTCACTCCCTGCCGCTTCTCTCCTGAGCTGTCCCTCAGTGAAGTCCTGCGTAACCACATCTTTCTCAGGTCTGCTCTGGAGACTGCGCCCCAAGGGGACGTGGGTGGCAGAGGGGCAGGGAGACCAGGCCTGGCAACATCGGGGAGATTCGGGCCGCCCCAAAGTCCCACTTGGAGCCTGTGGTAGAAAGTGCTGGATTGCATCGGGGCAGCTGATTGGCTCAGCGGTTAACTCACTGCTTGGGACATCACCATCCCACATCAGAGGGCCTGGGTTCCAGTCCGGCTCGGATGCCCATGGCAGCTTCCAGCTGCGGTGCACCCTGGGAGGCAGCCGGGGCTCAACGGCCGCCACCTAGCTGCCATTCAGTTTTGTGCTCCCCAGGGCTGTGTCCAGGGTGGGCGGGGCCAGCTCCAAGGCCAGGGGAGGGGCAGCAGGAACCTACCCACAAGAGACGAGGTGGCCAGGGCAGCCACGTTGTAGTTGCTGGCGCAGGATCTGGAGTTGCACAGGTGGCCATTGGTGGTCTGGAAGCACCTCTGTAAGGGTGGGGGTGCAGCAGTGAGCAGGAAGGGGCAGACGCCACGGGACAGCCTCCACCATTGCCACCACCATCACCACCGCCATCACCCAGCCCACCCATTTTCCCTGGGCAGGGTAGGGGAGTGGGGGTAAGGCCAGTGAGATCCCACCAACCCCCTTCCAGGTCCACCGCTGCCCCAGGGCTGGCAGGGCTGTGCCCGGGGTGATGGGTCCACGGCAGGTGGCTAGTCCGGGGCACAGCAAGGCACCGACCTGCCAAGGATCCCAACAGAAATCCATCTGTTTGTCCTGCAACAAGAAGAGAGAGCAGGCAGGTTTGGCCACAGATGATGGCTGGAGACCCCCAGCCCTGCGTGGTGACCTGGGCTGGCCTTTGGTGCTCCCTACCACAGGCCTCCACACACGGGCTGCACCATGCAGAGAAAGCAGGGGGCACTGTGGTACCGCCAGGCTGGGCCATGGGTGCCAGCGAGGGACAGGACCTGGGTTTGAACTCTGACTTTGCCACTTCCTAGCTGGGAGCAGACAATGCCCCAAACCTCACAGCTGGTGGTGGAGTGTGCACGGCACAAAGTAGGTAAAGACCCCCATCCCCAAATCCTGATGTGATGATGTCAGCGGGTTCGCTCAACCCACAGCCCCTGGGCAGGGTGGAAGTGAGGCGCCAGATTCACTAAGTAGTAGGGGCTGGAGTGAAGGTGCCGTCTGCAAGGCCAGGTTAATTCAGGTGGGAGTGCCTCAAGCTGGGGCTGTCTCCCTCTTTTTTTTTTTTTTTGACAGGCAGAGTGGACAGTGAGAGAGAGAGACAGAGAGAAAGGTCTTCCTTTGCCATTGGTTCACTCTCCAATGGCCGCCGCAGCCGGCGCCGGCGCACCGCGCTGATCCGATGGCAGGAGCCAGGTGCTTTTCCTGGTCTCCTATGGGGTGCAGGGCCCAAGCACCTGGGCCATCCTCCACTGTACTCCCGGGCCACAGCAGAGAGCTGGCCTGGAAGAGGGGCAACTGGGACAGAATCCTGCGCCCCAACCGGGACTAGAACCCGGTGTGCCGGCGCCGCTAGGTGGAGGATTAGCCTAGTGAGCCGCGGCGTCGGCCCCTTCTCTTTCTTTTTTTAAGATTTATTTTCTATGTATTTGAAATGCAAAGGTACAGAAAGAGAGAGGTCTCCCATCTGCTGGTTCACTCCCCAAATGGCCACAACAGCCAGGGCTGGGCCAGGCTGAAGCCAGGAGCCAGGAGCTTCTTCTGAGTCTCCCACGTGGGTGCAGGGTCCCAAGCCCTTGAGCCATCCTCCGCTGCCTTCCCAGGTGCATTAGCAGGGAGCTGGATCAGAAGTGGAGCAGCTGGGACTCAAACCAGCGCAGATATGAGATGCCAGTGCTGCAGGTGGCAGCTTAACTGGCAAGGCCACAGCACTGGCCCCAGGAGACCTGTCATCTCCACATAAGCCACCATCCCTAAATGCCAGACCCTCAGCCAGGTGAATCCCCAACCTCAGGGACCCAACTGTGCTGGCAGGGACGGCGCCCCCTGCCGGGAGCTGTGGGGAACAGCCTGGAATCTGGGCACAGGCAGGAGGAGGGAGCAGGAGGGAGGGGTTGTTACCTTGCCAGCGACATGGTCTGGAGCAGTGGTGGGCGGGCAGCCCGCGCACAGGTGTGGGTCAAGGGCTTCCGTGCCCTGGGGCATGGGGCAGTCCTTGTGGGCACTTGTGAAGAGATCTGGAAGTGAGTGGGGCGGGGCGAGGTCAGGGAAGCCCAGGCCTCCCCCGCCTACCAAGTGTGTCCAGGGAAGCCTGGAGATGACCTTGGCCTTGTTACCCACGGTGACTCCACAGGACACAGACTCCAGGGCACCGCAGGTCGGGGCCCAGCCCAGCCCCTCCTGCCCCCGGCCCTCTGTGGGAACTGCTGGCCCCGGCTTCCTCTCACTGATTCTAGAACCTTCTCCCCAGCATCTTTCTGCCCTCGCAGAGACACCCCAGTGCAGCCATCCTGACCCTTCCCCACCCCCACTTTCCTGGCTTCCCCCCTGCCTCTGCCCTGGACTCCCTGCGATCTACTATGGCCCTACCCAACCCCGGTTTCCCTCTAACCCTCAGCCTGCTCCAGGCCGGAACCTGGCAGGACTCGGCCGCCGGCCTCCCGCTAAAGTGGTGACCAGGGTCTCGGGCAGGCGAGGCCCTGGGCCCTTCTCCATTCCTGCCTTTCCTTCTCAGATCTGCACTGCCACTTCATCCCTGGGCCCTGCTGGGGCCTCCCCCAACCCCACCCTGGTCGGGAAGCCTCTGGAAGCCCCAGCCTGACCTCTCTGCCCACACCACCCCTGCCTGCTCCTGTGCCCCCATCTCCTCCTTCCCCTCCCCCGAGAGAGGCAGAGCTGCCCCCTCCAGGGCTCAATCCCAGGGGGAAGAGGGGGCAGGGCAGGGCACAGGTGAGGAGCAGGAGGGGACTGTGGCCCCTGGTGGTGATCCTGTATTGGAGCCCCTGTCGTTCCTCCCGGCAGAGGGGTTCTAGCAGGGCTGCTGGGAAGTCACCAGCCCTCAGGACAGAGGAAGAGGGTGGGGACGGGTGGGGGGCCCAGAGGGCCTCCAGGGACACAGGAGCCAGCAACTAAAAGCAATCACACGGTCTCGGTGCCAAGGTCATGGATTCAATGCTACGGGAAGCATGATCCTTCACCACCCCGGCCACCGTGGCCCTCCCCTCCCCTGTCCCGGAGGCGTCACCCACACCAATGCTGTGTCCTCTGGCTCTGGGGGTCAGGTGGGACTTGGAAAGGTCATCTAGGTCACCCCCCTGTCTCCGGGCATGTGTCTCCCTTCAGATCACAGGGCCAGAAGGCCTTGAATCCCACCTGCTGGGACTACCCCATCTCCCAGGGGAGCTTCAGCCAAGCACAGACTCTGCCCTCTGCACCCAGGCTTCTGATGTGGGTCCCGGGAAGTGAGCAGGAACCTGCTCCCCTGTGCCCCTGCACAGCCAGCCCCGAGGCCAGTGTGTGCAAACCACTTCAGAGCCCTGCTGTGTGCTGGGCTCTGCTCTGCGCTCTGGGACTGGGATGCAGAGGCACCGACAGGCAGAGCTTCCGGCCTCTGCCAGGCACAGAGCGGAGACTGAGGGCCCCGTGGTGGAGGAGCTGGGGGTGGGGGCAGAGCTGCCCTGGCATTGAACTTGCTCTCACCCAACCAAGGAGGGAGGGGTTAGGATGGGCAGGAGGGGGTGATGGCTTTGAGAGGGACTCGCCCTGGGCACTGTGTCACCTTGGGCCCCTTCTGTTTCCTGGTGCTCCGGGCCAGGGGTTGGGGGTGTGGTCACGCAGGGCTGGCTGGAGACCGTGGCCAGAAGCTGCCTGTGACGAGAGCCTGGTGTTATGGTGTCAACAAGCCAGGTACTCTGTGACGGTTCAGTCAGTTGGCAATGGTGGATTCAGTAGCTGATGTCCCCCACACCACCCAAACATCTTTTTAATTTTATACTTACTTAATTGTTCATTTTATTTGGAAGTCAAAGAGGCATAAACAGATCTCCCATCTGCTGGTTCACTTTCCAGATGCCCACAACAGCCAGCCAGGGCTGAGCCAGACTGAAGCCAGGACACAGGAACCCAATCCAGATCTCCCATGTGGGTGGCAGGGACCCAAGGACTTGAGCCATCACCTGCTTTCTCCCGAGGTGTGCCATAGCAGGAAGTTAAATGGCTGGTGGAGCCAGGACTTGAACCCAAGACTCTGATAAGGGATGACCCAAACACCTGCACCTGCTCCTATGTTAAATTGACTCGGCCAGGCCTCCTGGGCAGAGGGTGGCTCAGGGTCCCAGATTTGAACAAGTCACCAAGGGGCAACCATGATTTGGAGAGGTAGCATCGTCTGGGGTGTGGGGTGAGGGTAACTGTCCTATTCCCCTTGCCCTCATCTTCCAAAGGTGGCATCAGGTGCAAACCCTCTGCTTTGCACCCAAATCATCGCCCTGATGATTGGGAGCTCAAGAAGCTTCCAGTAGGGGAAGAGCTGCACCGTCTAGCATCTGGGCTTGGCCTCTGCTGTGTGGTGTTGGGTGACTGAGTGCACCTCTCTGATCCCCTGTTCGTTATCTGACAAACGGTGATGCTGTCCCTGGCTACAAGGTGTGGGAGGGTGAAGGGAGCAGCAGAGGCAGGGCTCCTGGCATGCAGCTGGCACCGAAAACCCACGTGTGCTTTTGCCACGAGCCCTGTGCCCATGCTCCTGCCCTCTGTCTGGGTGAGACAGAGAGAGCCACTGCCCCTTGGACGCTGTGGTCTGAGTGCAGTTTGCTGAGCCTGGAGGCCCCGGCACAAAGATCGAGTCCGAGTTGCTGCCAGGTGCTGAGGCCACCACCATTGTCCTACCTGTGGGCCTCCTTCCTCCCGCTGAGCAAGGTGGGCCCTGCAGGCAGGGCCTGGTGTGCAGGGTGCAGGCTTGGGGTGGGCCAGACCAGGGTGGGAATCCTGGCCCTGCCTTCCATGGCCATGACCTTGGACAAGCAGCCTCACTTCTCTCAAAGCCATTTCCTTAAAATGGGTTAATTCTGCCCAACTTCTTGGGTTTCTGCAGATACCCAGGGTGGTCCTGGGAGGGCTGAGGGTCATGGCAGGCAGGGTCAGGGGTCGCCCCGCTCAGCTTTGCCTGTGTGTGTTCCCTGTTCCCTGCCTTTGCAAATGCCTTCCTTGCCGGCTCTGAGAATCCAGAGCCCTGAGCTAGAGGCCTGCCTCGAACCCCTCACTGTCCTGCTCTGTGCACCTGCTTCCCCTCCCCCACCAGGCCACAGGAACCTGTGGAGTCTGAGCAGGACCACCTCCCTGCTGTTCTGCTGGGAGTGGGAAGTACCTGCTCCCTCGCTCCTGGCAGCGCTCCCCGGATTCATTTGCCCTGGGGACATCAGTGCTCAGCAAGTCTCAGTCGTCTGGGGCAGTTCTGCTTGGTTTGCCAAGGACACTCTGATTGGCCTCAGGAAATCCAGAATTGGGCGGAGGAGGGGGAGGGTGTTGATGGGCGGAGCACACACCTGCCCAGGTGCACCTGAGCTAGAAGCAAAGAGGCTTTGTGAGACAAGGACCAGTTGGGGTCAGAGCAGAAGGCACTGACAGGTAAGGGCACTGGGTGCAGGTGGGGCGCAGGTGAATTTGGAAGGGCCTGCAGCAGGCAGCACTGGAGGTCAGGGGCAGGAGCCGGCTCCTCACCTTGACCCTGGAGGGCTCTCCTTCTGGGCCTGGGGTTTCCTGCCTCTGTGGCCAAGGGGGCGTGGGCATGGGGACTCAGAGTTGTCCACAGGGACCCGCAGTGTTGGTGGCTCACTGCGCTAAGAGAGCTCAAACCATGGAAGCAGCCAAGTGACGTCCCTGGGGGGTGGGGGACGTGAGGGGCTCACAGAACAGGGCGGGGGCTCTGATCAAGGAACACAGGAGAGTGGAGGAGACATCGTGAAACACTCGCCTCCCCCCACACCTGGCACACGCACGCACAGCCCCTCGGGGCAGCCCTCGGTGCCGAGGACTCACCCGGGCCGGCGTCTCCTCCTGACCCCGCACACGCACCACACACATGGGGAAACACCATCTTCCCCTCTACCTGGGGCAGAGCTGGGGCAGAGCCAGGAGGCAGGGAGCAGGCTCTGGTGCGGCTCACCGCGGGGGACTCTGTCAGTCTGTCTGTGTGTGTGTCTGTCGGCCCCACCAGGGTCCCCATGGAGGAGCTGGTGGGGCTGCGAGAGGGCTCCTCTGGGAACCCGGTGGCCCTGCGGGAGCTGTGGGGCCCGTGTCCCCGCCTCCGCCGCGGCATCCGAGGTGAGAGCTGGGGCCCCTCCGCTCCCCAGAGAAGACCCTCAGGTGCCTTCCCTGGCCAGGGCTGCCCAGGGGCCCCCCTCCTGCTTTCCACTCCCTGGGGACCTCACAGCCCAGAGTCTCAGGGTGGCAGGGACGGAAGGGCTCTGTCTGCCTGTCCCTCTGTCTGGGTCACATTGGCTGGTGAGTGCCCTCTTGCTGGGGGGTCCCATGGTCATGGGATGATGCAGGAGGCTGGCAGGATCCTGCTGCCCTGCTTGGGAAGCTGTACTGCAGGCGCCCCCCACCTCCCCTTCCCCCTTGGTCACTCTCCCAGTAGTCTCCCTGGAGGGGCAGAAATGGGGAAGGCAAACAGGTGCCACCCCCTGCACCAGCCACGGCTCCTGTTCTGTGCGTGGCGTTCAGGGTCATGCTGGACTCCACCACCTGCACCTGGCCCCCACCTCTCCCCACCAGCGCCCTCCCTGCTTTGGGCTCATGCAGGCCTCCAGGAAATGCACTGGTCCAGCCCCCTACCTACCTGGGCTGTGACCCGATGCCCCTGCCCAGGTGGCCTGGAGTGGCTGAAGCAGAAGCTGTTCCGCGTGGGCGAGGACTGGTACTTCCTGATGACCCTGGGGGTGCTCATGGCCCTCATCAGCTATGCCATGAACTTCGCCCTCGGGCGCGTGGTCAGAGGTAAGCCCTCCCAGGCACGCACACAGTGCTCAGGGACAGGGGCTCCAGGCACGATCTCCGGGATGCCACATGGGCCGCCAGGTGCAGCGGGGCGGGTGGCGCCTGAGTGGGGAGCAGGGTGAGTCTGGTCCTGGCTCAGCTCCTGCCTCGCTGTGTGACCCTGAGCAGGCTCCTGACCCTCTCTGAGCCTGAGTCTCCTCTCCCGCACATTCGGAGTGAGCCCTCGATGACCCCAGAGTCCTGGCTGCTCTGGGCTCTGTGCCCCTCTTTGTGCCACTCCCACCCCTTCTGCACCTGCTGCCCTCAGCTCAGTTACCCTGGGGGAAGGGGCTTGTGAGACCATCAGGCGTAGCGTGTCCCTCCATACCCTTCAGCACCCTCTCCACCCTGAGGTCTTCCTGGAGGAGGGGGCAGTGGCAGGGAGAGTCTGAGCCTCTTTCTCTCCTCCGATCATGAAGAACCCTAGCAGGTGCTCCACACCCCGTCTCACTTCCTCCTCAGGGATCTCTTCTAGCCCTCAGTGACCTTGTCACCAGCTCCTTTGACAGTCAGGGAAGGTGTTGCCCAAGGTCGTTGGACCAGGAAGCAGCTAGGAATCGGACCCCGGGCCCCTCTCCTGCCTCCACCTGGGGGTCTGCCCCATGCTGGGTAGCCCTTAGCCCCCATTCCTGCTCAGTAAGTGGGGACCTCAGTGTGTGGCCCCGGGGGCAGCTCCCTGATGCCTGGCCGTCTCCAGCGCACAAGTGGCTGTACCGGGAGATTGGGGACAGCCACCTGCTCCGGTACCTCTCCTGGACCGTGTACCCTGTGGCCCTGGTCTCCTTCTCCTCCGGCTTCTCCCAGAGCATCACGCCCTTCTCAGGAGGTGAGTCCAGCGTCGCCACGCCGTTTGGGTAACAGTCGTCCCTGGTCAAACCTTCTCATGTCCATGGGCTGCCTGCTGCCCCCACTTCACAGCCAGAGAAGCAGGCCCAGAACAGGCGTGCTGGGTGCCTAGAGGCACACTGGGAGACAGCCAATGCTGAGTCCTGGGTCACTGTTGGCTCCGCCTCTGTGGGCTGTGCTCCAAGGACAGGGGACGAGGACAAGGGACAGAGGACAGGTTCCCAGGGGTGTGGAGACAGAGGCCAGGGCCAGGGCAGCTCTGGTGTAGGGGGCGCAGCTCCCCCAGGCCTCTCAGCAGTGCCCAGGCCAGCAGAGGGGACGTGGACGTCTGGAGGGGGTGCGTTCTCCTGAGTCCCATCCTCCCCTGGTGCCGGGCCCAGCTGTGAGGACAGGGACACCTCCCACCCGACTGTGTGTCCAGACCCCTTAGAGTCGTCATCCAGAGATTTCCCACTTTTTGTCAAGGTTCCGGAATCCCAGAGCTGAAGACCATCCTGTCGGGGGTGGTCTTGGAGAACTACCTGGACATCAAGAACTTCGGGGCCAAGGTGGTGGGCCTCTCCTGCACCCTGGCCACGGGCAGCACCCTCTTCCTGGGCAAAGTGGTACGGATCGGACCGGTGGCAGCGCCCACCCCCACCGCCTCCCACCCCTGCCTCCCTATGGCTGGGGCAGAGGGGTTCAGCCAATCCCTGCCTTGGGGGGCTCAGTGTTGGGGAAGAGGAGGTCCCAGCCCCAGAGGGGGACAAAGGCCATCTCAGGCCACCTTGGCATCTGGGGAGATGGGAGAGCTGGGTCTGGGGGAGGCTCCCTCTGCTGCCCTCAGACTGGGCTCAGGGGTGGACGAGGAGGTAGGGAGAGGGAACCGAGGAGGAAAGATGGGGCGGGCCGCCTCTGTGCCCCCTGCCCTGGGCCCACACCTTGCCCGGCCACAGGGCCCCTTCGTGCACCTGAGCGTGATGATTGCTGCCTACCTGGGGCGCGTGCGCACCAAGACCATCGGGGAGGCGGAGGTAACGGCAGGGGGGAGGAGAGGGCAGCGCCTGCAGGGGTGGTGGGAGGCAGGGCCCGGCTCTGAGCCCTGCACCTCCACTCCCCCAGAACAAGAGCAAGCAAAATGAGATGCTGGTGGCAGGGGCGGCGGTGGGCGTGGCCACGGTCTTTGCAGCCCCCTTCAGCGGTGAGACCCTCCCTCCCACCTTTCTCTGCATCCTGGACCCCCACGTGCCCTGCCTTCTATGGCTTGGCTGCCGCCCAGGAGGGACCTGAGGAGGCATCAGGCTGCATCCAGATCTCTCTGCTGTCCAGTGCGGGAACCACCACCCCAGGGCGGGGCCTCAAGTGCTAGGGGGTCACATTAGACAGACGTGTGCAGAAATCCGTTCTCCAGTGTGGCCCAGCCATGGGGCCTGGCTGCCAGAGCTGTAAGACTGGGCCGCTCTGTCTCCACCCTGTGTGTGAGGAGGGCACAGTTCTAGGGTGCGACAGCGCCCTGCTAGGGGAGTCCACCCTACTCACCCTGGGCTCAGGACCCAAGGGAAGGGGTGTCCCTGCCGGTCCAGGCTGTAGAACAGAACAGGAGGGGCCTCAGAGCCCTGAACCATGGAATGGGAAGGCTGGGGTCCCCTGAGCCCAGTGCTGCCCCCAGGCGTCCTGTTCTGCATCGAGGTCATGTCTTCCCACTTCTCCGTCTGGGATTACTGGAGGGGCTTCTTCGCTGCCACCTGCGGGGCCTTCATGTTCCGGCTCCTGGCCGTCTTCAACAGCGAGCAGGGTGAGCCACGTGGGTGCCTGGGTGGGGGACTTTCTCCTCCCTCCGTCGCCTCACCCTCCCCCCTCAACCCATCCCTTCCTGCCTGCCCCCTCCTGCCCAGAGACCATCACCTCCCTCTACAAGACCAGCTTCCCGGTGGACGTCCCCTTCGACCTGCCGGAGATCTTCTTCTTCGTGTTGCTGGGGTGAGCAGGTGCCTCGGGCCCCCTGAGAGCCCCTGGGCTGGGGAGGGGTGTGGCCTCACTCCTCTCGTCCCCAGGGCCATCTGCGGCGTGGCCAGCTGTGCCTACCTCTACTGCCAGCGCACCTTCCTGGCCTTCACCAAAACCAACAAACTCATCTCCAAACTGATGGCCACCAGGTGGGCCTGGCAGGGCTGGGCCCCTCGCAGACCCCCAGCCTCATGGAGAGAAAGCCCAGCCAACATGAGCCCCTGTCCCCTCGCTGAGCCCCAGCCCCTGCTTAGCCTCACCCCGTGGGAGCTGCGTTCCCTCATCTACACCGCCTGCTCCCTGGCTGTGCCTCCAGCCCCTTCCTTTAACCCCTCCTCTCACTGGTGTCCCACCCCCAATTGTCCCCTGCTCCCCAACCTTGATGCCCCTGGCCTGGCCTGGGCCCTCCTCCTGTCCCAGCTAGTAGCCCAGCCCCGCCCTGGCCTGGCCAGCTCGGGCCTTCCCACCAGCCTGCTGCTGTCCCTAACTCTCATCAGCCCTGAACCCATTACACTGACAGTGGCAGACTGTCCCTAGCATCTTCCCTGGAAGTCCCCGGGACACGCCCCCTCCCGTCTTGCCTCCTTCTCCTTGTGGGCCTGGGCATCAGCACCCAGGGTGGTGGCGTCTGCTCTTGTCTGGCTGGGCCCCTGTCTCCCCTCCATGCAGTGGGGAAGTGGAGTCAGCCCTGGATCTCCTTCCCCATCCCAACAGCAAGCCTCTGTACGCAGCCCTGGCGGCCACGGTTCTGGCCTCCATCACCTACCCCCCCGGAGTGGGCCGCTTCATGGCTTCTCGGGTGAGCTGAGCTTCGAGGGCGATGGGAGTGGGGACCCCAGGTTGCCCCTTAGTGACCTCTGATGGTGTCTGCACCCATGAGCAGGGAGACGCCCGCCTGGGCGGCATTTGCAGGGGGGAAAGGCAGTGTGGGAGGCCACAGCCCTTCCCCAGGGCCCCAGCTGGGGGTGCTGAGTGGGACTGGACGTGGCCCCCCGGAGGGGCTGGGTAGCAGGGGCCGGGGTCTGGTCAGGCCCTGGTGCAGACTCCGCCCCCAGCTGTCCATGAGGGAGCATCTGGACACCCTGTTTGACAACCACTCGTGGGCGCTGCTGACCCGCAACTCGTCCCCACCGTGGCCTGCGGAGCCCGACCCCCAGCACCTGTGGTGGGAATGGTACCACCCCCGCTTCACCATCTTCGGGACCCTCGCCTTCTTCCTGGTTATGAAGGTGGGCACCCAGGGCCTCTGGGGGAACACAGCTGAGACCCGCTGGGGTTGGGCGGGGGTTGCAGCATGGAGTCGGCCCTTCCACCTACACTCCCTGACTGCCTCTTTCCCTTGCCTCAGTCTTCTCATCTTTAGAGTGGGCCAGCTACTGTGTCTACCCCAAAGGGAAGGCTAAGGAGTAGGACAGCATTGGCTTGAAGCCAGGCCACAGCGAGCGCTTTACCAGGGGAGGGTCCTGGCCCTTCCGTGCAGCCCCGACCCCAAATGCCGGTGCTGGGTCGTGCCTGGCCACCCTCCTGCCCACTGCCCAGTCTCCTCTTGCCTGTGCCTTGCCGGCTGCCCCTCAATTCTGCCCCTCCCCTCTTCACAGTTCTGGATGCTGATTCTGGCCACCACCATCCCCATGCCCGCTGGCTACTTCTTGCCCATCTTCATCATTGGTGAGTCTGGGGTGCTGAGAGTTGGGGAGATTCAACATCTCTAGTGCAGATCCAGAGACCTGCGTCACCTGCTACCTCCCAGGATGGGACCGCGAATGTCCCCAGGATGGAGGTCGTGGGGGTCCAGTCCGCACGCTGCCCCCTCCTCACTCTAAGTCTGTGTCCAGGAGCTGCCATTGGGCGCCTCTTGGGGGAGGCCCTCTCTGTCGCCTTCCCTGAGGGCATCGTGGCTGGAGGTGTCATCAACCCCATCATGCCCGGCGGCTACGCCCTGGCAGGTGAGTGGTCAGCTCCCGGCTGGGCGGGCTGCACGGAGAATCGGCTGGCAGTGCTGCCGGGGTCTCTGAGCCGCCCGTCTGTTCCCTAAGCCCCATCACCCTACAGCTCTTGTCTGGTCCCGATTCCCTATCCCCTAGCTTCTCTCTCTCCTCTCGGCCAGCTCGGGAGAGAGGACACTTCCAGCCTGCACCGTTCCCCCCAGCCCAGGACCGTGGCCGAGCCAGCCTTGTCCTCCACGGGACAGCGGGCCCTGGTCTCAGGCTTTCTGCCCTGCCTGTCCCCCAGGGGCTGCGGCCTTCTCAGGCGCGGTGACCCACTCCATCTCCACTGCGCTGCTGGCCTTCGAGCTGACCGGACAGATCGTGCACGCCCTGCCAGTGCTCATGGCTGTGCTGGCGGCCAACGCCATCGCCCAGAGCTGCCAGCCCTCCTTCTACGACGGCACCATCATGGTGAAGAAGCTGCCCTACCTGCCTTGGATCCGGGGTCGCCCCATCAAGTGAGTGCCTGCCCAGGGCTGGTGGAGCCACAGGTGGAGCCGGAAGGGAAACCGGCTGTGAGGTCCTCACTGGACCACATCCGGCCGGAGCCGCTGTCGGCCCAAAGAGTAGAGCTAAGGGGCTCCGCGAGGCCCCGGGTCCGAGGCCCAGCTGGCAAGTTGCCACCTTGCGGCAAACTTCAGTTTCCCCCCCTGAAAATTGGGCGGGGGACTCAGTGGTTTTAAAATTTTAATTCCCCCCCCCCCCCCCCCGCCGCCTCCCATCTAACTTTGCTGCAAATGAGATTCCCCAGGGAGACCACAGTGCAGCTTGTCCCGGGCAGGGGCTGGGACTCAGATCTGGGCCTCGCTGGCCCCAGGGTCCTTTCCACCGTGGGGTGGGGCTCCTGGAACCGCTCATCCAGGAACCTCTTTGCCCACCCTTGAGGACCACGGGGCCTGGCCAGCTCACCTCCCCGCGTACCCTGCTTCGTCCTGGACCGGGGACCCAGGGCCTGATGGGAGCTCCTCTGCCCCCAGCTCCCACCGCGTGATCGTGGAGCACTTCATGCGCCGTGCCATCAGCACGCTGGCCAGGGACGCGGCCCTGGAGCAGGTGGTCAAGGTGCTGACCTCCACGGACGAGGCCGAGTACCCCCTGGTGGAGAGCACAGGTGCCCGGCCCGGGGGGGGGACGGTGGCCGGGGCTAGGGCTTCCCCCTGCCTTCTTCCCAGAGTCCAGAGGGTCAGGCCCAGGAAGGGCAAGCAGAGCGCTCGGTCTGCACCTGCGTCCAGGCCCCGACGTCGACGCTGTGTGAGCCTGGGCGAGTGCCTTCCCCTCCCCCTCTCCCAGCCTCAGCTCCCTCATCAGCAAAAGGAAACAGGAACCCTTCTCACCTGGGATGTGGGACATGATGGGAAGCTTGGTGTGCACAGGTTGGGTACAACATCAGTCATTGTTCAAACCGGACCTGGGCACCTGTGGACACTGCCTTGTATGATGGTCCTGCAATGGCCCCTCTGAAACTCAGGATCAACTAAGCCCCCAGCACACAGTAGGACCTCAGGACATAGTGCTGCCATCACTGGGCTGAGCCAGTGCTGACAGCCAGATGTCCCCAGGCAGGTGGCCCTGCAGCATGGAGAGTCCCCACGGGAGCAGAATGCCCCTTGGCCCCGCCTACCACACCTCCACATTGGATGCTCAGTGACCTTGGGCATGACAATCAGCAGCGCTGTGCCCCTGAGGCTCAGTTTGCTGTCCTGTCCAGTGGGTGAGAGTCGTTCCAATGGACCCATAGGAGAGACAGGGCAACCCAGCACGTGGGTTCTTGGCACATAGTAGGTGCTGCGTAGATGGAGTTATTCTGCATAATGCGCCTCTCCACCCCTCCCTGTGCACCTGCTAGAGTCGCAGCTCCTGGTGGGCATCGTGCAGAGGGCCCAGTTGGTGCAAGCCCTCCAGGCCGAGGCACCTGCCAGGGCTTCAGGACAGCAGGTGGGTATGTGTGAGGGTGGGCAGCAGAGAGGTGAGGGGAGAGGCAGTCTGGAGGGGGCTGCCCGGGGACAGGGGGCTGGTGCAGGTACCCATCTCCCTGCCCCCATCCCCAGCGCTGTCTCCAGGACATCCTGGCTGGGGGCTGCCCCACGGAGCCAGTGACCCTGACGCTGTCCCCTGAGACCTCGCTGCACCAGGTAATGGGGAGAAGTCAGGAAGTGGAGGATTATGGGGTCAGCCAGGACCCTGGGGCAGAGAGCAAGGGCCGGCAGGGAACGAGGGCTCCAGCCTCCCCCGCTACACTGTGTTGCTCCGTCCCCCTGGCCTGCTTCCTCATTGGCAGACTGTGCACAGCAGTGCCCGCCCTGTGCCCCGACCCCCAGGGTGGCTGGGGTGACCCAGAGACACTACTAGAGGGGTAGAAGCGGCACAGAAGCTCTTGGGGTTTGGGGGGTAGACATTGGGTACACGTGTTGCATCACCACACATGGGAGTCCCTTTCCCATCCACTTCAATCTCCCTGTGTGATCGCAGGCACGTTACCGACCCAGTGAGGACAGAGTCCGGCTCTCAGGAGGGCCAGGGGCAGAAACAGGCCAGGCAACCTGGTGTGGGCACACACTCTCTGCCTGAGGTCCTTCCACCCAGGCTTGCACAGCCCATGTGTGGACTCTGGGGCCCCCTGGTGGTCATAGTGAACATTGCCCGCAGGTCCCTGGTTCCTGGCAGAGATTTAGGGGTGCAGCCAGAGGGGTGGCTGGGCGCCCCAACCCTCCAGTGTTTCCTGACACCCCCCTCACAGGCACACAACCTGTTTGAGCTGTTGAATCTTCGATCGCTCTATGTGACGTCCAAGGGCAGAGCTGTGGGCTACGTGTCCTGGGTGGAGGTACCAGGGGGAGCCGGGGAGGGGGGAGCTCAGAGAAATCTTTTCTAAAAGATTTGTTTATGTGTTGAAAGGAAGCGTGGGGCCGGTGCCACGGCTCAATAGGTTAATCCTCTGCCTTGCAGCGCCAGCACACCGGGTTCTAGTCCCGGTCGGGGCACACCAGATTCTGTCCCGGTTGCCCCTCTTCCAAGCCAGCTCTCTGCTGTGGCCCGGGAGTGCAGTGGAGGATGGCACCCCATTGGAGACCAGGAGAAGCACCTGGCTCCTGGCTTTGGATCAGTGCGGTGCGCCGGCCGCAGCGTGCCAGCCACAGCGGCCATTGGAGATTGGAGAGTGAACCAACAGCAAAGGAAGACCTTTCTCTCTGTCTCTCTCTCTCACTGTCCTCTCTGCCTGTCCAAAAAAAAAAAAAAAAAAGAAAGAAAGAAAGGAAAAAGAAAAAGAAAAGAAAGGAAGCGTGGTAGAGGGAGACAGACATGGAGAGACACAAAGCGACAGAGAGAGGAAGAAAGAGAGAGAGAGAATCTTCCATCCAGCAACCCACCAGTTCACTCCCCAAATGGCCCCAACAGCTGGGCCTGTGCCACCCTGAAGCCAGAAGCCAGGAACTCCACTGATTCTCACACATGAGTGGCAGGGACTCAAGTACCTGAGCCGACATCCACTGCCTCTCTGGCGCATCAGCAGGACACTGTATTGGAAGTGGAGCAGCCACTCCTGGCACAGGCAGGCAAATGCTCAACCCCCTCCCAGGATATCAGTGCCTCCCCTTCCTGGCCGGGGGACCCTAGGGCCTGACCGCCTCGACCTGGTCTTGTGGCCAGCAGCCTCGCCGCCACTCCCTGGTGTCAGTGATCCCATCTGAGCAATGGGGAGGCACCGCTCTAGCCGTCACCAAAGAATCCAGCCCTGGGGAAGTCAAACGATGGTGGAGCCCCCGCTCTCGCCTGCCCTGCAGCCTCCCTCCCCACCCCCTGTGCTCTGTTCTAGCTGGAGAAAGCAATCTCTGCCCTGACGAACCCACCGGCCGCCAAGTGAGCTGCCCCGCATGAGGAGGCGGGACACCCCCTGCCCTTGGTGACTGTGGCGTCCAGGAGCCAGCGTCCCTTCTCCAGTCCCGACCTCCCCACCGCTCCATCCTAGCTCACCTGCTGGGCTTGGCAGCAGCCCTAACCCAGCCCCGACAGGAGCCCCACTTTCTCCCCATGCCATCTTGGGGGACACCAGCTCCTGCCTTGAAGCACAGAGCTCAGAGTGCGAGGGAGGGGAAGACCAGACCAGGGCGGCGCCCAGGGAGCAGGTGCTCGGCTCATGGCTGCGGAGGCTGGCGGGCGCCGTCGGCAGGGGCAGGCCTGGAGGTCCTCGGGGATGGGCTGAGGTTCCCGAGAGAAATAAAGCCGAGCCCTCCCGGAGCCGCAGCTCCTCCCTCACTTGAGCTCCAAGGGTGTTCACTGGCTCTTAGCCTCTCACCTGTGCTGGCCCAGAGCGCGCTCCTGGGGACACGGGCGGTCACGGGGGCCCTGCGGTCTGGCTCCCTCATCTCCTCCTGATGCCCCACTTCCTGGGATGGAGACAGGATCCCCCAGGACTTGGGATGCTCCTCTTCCTGGACAGGCAAGACCCAGTGGCCCAGCCCTTGGATGAGCCACAGGTGAAGGGGGGGGGGTCCTGGGTGTGTCCCCTTGGGGCGTCCAGTGTCTAGGGCATCCTCCATGTTGGGCCTTGAGACACAGATGGCTAATCCCACACCTGATGAAAGCAACATGACCCCGGTATTCACTGCCTGAGACTGCAGGCTCCCTCCTAGCCACGGGCGGATGAAAGTTCACTGCGGACTCTGACCAGCCCTGGCCAAGGGGCTTTATTCCTCCAAGTCCATTTATTGCGGTAGGTGTGGGTTTCTGCAAGAACTCGAGGCCCTGCTCAGGCAAGGAGCCAAAAAAGATGGCCACCCGCAACTCAGGGGGCTGAGCCTTCTCAGAACCCCGTCTGCTGTCCAGGTGGCTCGCATCCTCCTCCACCTTCTGCTGCTCTCACAACAAATGGCTCCCCTACCTTGACCGGGTGTCTTGGAGCCTTCTCAGACCTGTCTCTTAAACTTAACACTCCATGGGGCCTCCAGAACCCCTGCCCAGGGGCCCAGGCACCCGCCTTCCCCAGCAAAGACCAGCCAAGTGCATGCAGGTGAACCCACCGCTTTAATACCAGGGCACCGTGAGGACGACGGGGGTGGCAGTGGGGGCACCGAGGGAGCAGGTTTGGGACGGGGAGAGCCAGGTGGACACTCCAGACACAGAGACGCTCTGAAGGTGCCAATGAGCAGGGGCTGTGCCTCCAGGGAGGTGACCTCATCTTCCCTAGGGAGCAGGTGCACAGGCGGGGGACTGAGCCCAGGGCAAGGCAGGGTCCCCAGCCCCACTCCTACTGGGTCTCTCTGTCCCCACGAGGCCATCGGCCTGGGATCCTGGCAGCAGCGTCTCTGGGGGCCATGGCCCCAGCATCTGTCGCTGTCCTTGAGCTCCCTGAAGACAAGGGGCAAGGGGCAGTGCCCCCTGAGCCTGGGAAAGACGGAGAAGGGGGACTCAGGCTGCCTCTGATGGCCGGGTCCACCGAAGCACAGAGTGACCCACAGGAGCGCCAGCCCTCATCCCTGCCGCCTCCTCCCTGAGCCTGCCCCAAGAGGTGGAGAGCTGCCCAGCGGCGTTCCCAGAGTCCAGATGTGCCTGGGCTACGGACTGGCCAAGGTCACGGTGTGGGCAGGTGCTGGCCCCGTGCAGCCCCCACCTCAGTTATAGAAAACCTCGTCTTCCTCTTCGGAGAGGGAGCCGCTGTCCACCGAGGGGAGCGATCCCTGCAGGCAGCCCCCTGCCTCAGGCCCCAGGCCCCCGGGCAGCCGCTGCCTGTGCTGCTGCTCAGGGCTGGGGGGCTGGGGGCTGGCAGGGGGGAAGGGAGAGGGGGAGGGCCACTCATCGGGGGAGTGGCCAGGTGAGGTGAAAGCCAGGAGGCTGTCAATGGGGAGTGGGTCCATTTTACAGATGAGAAAACGAAGGCTGGGGAAGGAAGGGTCTTGCCCGCCTCACACAGCCTGGGGTGGCCGCAGGCCTCTGGCCTCAGTTCTGCACCACCCACCCCAGCCCAGGCCCCCCGGGCTGTACCCTGGAGCTGATCCGTGTCCTGGGGGCTGGTCTCGAGGTGCAGCTCCTCACCGTCCAGCGAGGACCAGGCGCTCAGTGTGGCCTCTGTGATGGCAAACTGCTCGGCGACCCCTGGGGACAGTGGGGTATGGGCAGGTGGGGGGAGCGCTGGCACCAAGACCGGCTGAGGGGCCACCTCTCGGGGCTGCCAATCACACCCAGCCACACCCACCCTGTGCCTTCTCTGCCACCCACATGGTGCCCATACAGTGACCCCGCTCCCAGAGGCCGCACTCCACCCCTGCAGAGCGGCCGGGCCCCCTCTCCCCTCCCCCTTCCCGCTGACCTGCTGCAAAGCGGGCCTCCCGCAGCTCATCCGGGAGGCAGTGGTAGCGCTCGTCCTCGGCCGGGGACAGCTCCCAGCCCGATCGCTGGGCGCTCCAGCCCTTCCACTCAATGAGGTGGGCCACGCGGCCCCGTGCCATGGCCGTGGGCTTGGTCATGTGGTCCTTGATGCTCTGCACCACCCCTGGGGCATTGGGGACATTGGGGGACCGTCCCGATGTTACACCCTGCTCAGGTCTGCCTCCCAACCCCTGGAGGCTCTCCTCAGGGTCATCAGGTGGCCCGTACCCCAATCCATCCATGCCTGAGTACGGGGGATGC